TCTGCGTCAACAATAATCCTCGCAGGGGGGGTGCTGCGAAACCAAGGACTTCAGAGCTTCCGTGACCACGGCTGTCGCTGCCACGAGCCCAGCGATGTAAGACTTGCGCTCCCTCACAGCCAATGAGCCCTGTGACTGTAAAAATGTGCTCCCTCACAGCCAATGAGCCCTGTGTATGTCAAAATGTGCTCCCTCACAGCCAATGAGCCCTGTGTATATAAAAATGTGCTCGGTCATGCAAGACTTGGCTCGCCAAGGACTTGTCATGACTCCCCAGCGATGTGCAGCTACCTCTCCGTGGTGCTGGGGACTAGTATTCGAGTACTCCAAGAGTATCCGAAGAAGCAAAGACCTGCGCAACATCTTCAGCTTTTTCGTATTCCGAAGCATCATTGGAGAGTTAGAACAAGCCATGAATAGGTATTAACCAATGATCAGAATCGTAGATTCACGACTGAATCTTCTTCGCTATCGAGCGCCGTATTCCCAACCCTCCGGCCTTGATAGTTGCGGTCTGCTAGTCCATCCGTCGCAATAGAGTGCATATGCGCTCAGGGCATAGAGAAAACAAAAACGTGAGTATTTTGGTGCGGCGCGGATGTGTTGATGGTCGTTGATGGTCGTTGATGGTCGTTGATGGTCGTTGATGGTCGTTGATGGTCGTTGATGGTCGTTGATGGTCGTTGATGGTCGTTGATGGTCGTTGATGGTCGTTGATGGTCGTTGATGGTCGTTGATGGTCGTTGATGGTCGTTGATGGTCGTTGATGGGCGTGGACGATAGTATGGACGAGGTGTTGATGTGCGTATTGTGGTATATGGCCAGGCGGTGAAGTTGAGATGGTCACTAGACTTCAGCAAAGCCCAACCAAGCCCATTTCTACAGCAATTTTCGAAAACAGTTTACCCCTCAGACACTTACACTTTGTTTGTCGGCCCGTACCCGAAACAAGTGGTAAGGTATTGTCCACTTATAGACCAGCTTCATTTACGAGCTAGCTGGATCTGGCCTAGCGTTGTATTTGGTATGGCCCGAGAAACGAAGTGTGGGTGTCCCGAGGGTAAACTGTTTTCGAAAATTGCTGTATGCACACAACTACGGTAACTAGTTAGTTATTGGCTTTCGTAACCCTGCTGATTAATGTTGGTTTTTTGTGCATGCTGTAAGCCCAGATCTCGGCCCGACGTTTTCCCCGGCCCAATCCGGGGGTTCAACTACTCCAAGAAGCAAGATATCAAGACTCAACGGCAACAACCTGGTAATAAAAGTCATAGAAAACAATGGCGACACTGTAGACCCGTTTGCATAGGAACTACCAAGAAAAAGTCGAGTTTGACCAGGATTCTGTACAATTCTGGCACTTAGAGGATTAGTGAGCGTCAGCACATAGATGTATATATCTCATAAAAGCAGAAGTAGGTGCATCTTCCTATTCAAGTATGACATTTTCAATTGTGGAAACCCTCATTTTTAGGTTTATTGAATTCAATTTTATACCAAAAGCTAGCTGATTTCCCACAATTAGTGTCCGTTTTCACAGATAATTGATATTGGGAAAATCTACACTACTTATGCAAATGCCAAGAATTGGCATGTTTGTATTGTGTTCGGCCCATTGGGCCGCACGAAAGCCCCGGGGGCTTCTACCTTAGGCCCATAGCCCATCTGCAGGTTGGGGTCGGGTCTGGCCTTGGGCTTTTGGGCCGGTGCGGAAGTCTACATGACACAAATATCAGTTTCATTGTTTCATTCTGCACCATTTGGCTTTACTTGCTACGATGGTCCCCTGGTGTTTACTCAGTAAAGTTCGCACACAGCCTCCAATTCGATTGAGCTGGTCCAATGCAAACACCAATATCCCTCGATGAAGCTATAATTAGGCAAAAAACCCACGATCAGACCTACCAAGTGTAGATGAAGCATTGAATGAGGAGCGCTCGAAATGCGTTTTGTTGCTCAGGTAATTATGGTGATGCGATAGACTGTTCCTCGCAGTCGAATTGGCCGCTTCAGGCGGCTTGCAAGCCACTCACTCCTACTCTGCTGTAGAATGCCTACATCCATAACGGTCGCGAGTCAAACTGGATTCCCAATAAAGACGGCGAAGAAATTGAGGGGCTTGGCTCGAAAATTTCCGATTGGCTTCTTCTACATGGGAGCCGTCGCACCTTGGTCAGTTACAGCAATTACGATTATATTGCGAGCCCATCTCCTATGTAGCAACCACACCGCACTCAAATTGGCGACCACTGCTTTCTGGGCGTGGTGTCGGAGCTCGTGCGATCAAGTGTACTCCACTGTGTAGAGAACATGGTTGCAGCCCGATCGGGTCTAGCAAGCGCCATCTTGACCAGATCTGGGAAGGACGATTCCGCCAGCATTTACGACGGACTTGGATTGGAGCTGCAGCACTCATGCACGTTACCAATGCCACCGAAAGCAATCACATGAATGCTGATCAGGGGAAGAAATCTTAGTATAGGCTGTCATAGATACTCAGAGAGGTCGCACAGAGGATGGCTCCGAGTAAAGTTGTGCAGACACCCAACTCACCCTTACAAAGGATCTGCTTGAACAGTAATATACCAGTCTAAAGCGCGGTGTGTCTGACAAATAATTGATGCTCAAGAACAGTCGAGGTAGGGGACGTAGAGAACTCAGCCATTCCCTGAGAAAACTGCTTGCACGCGATATGTCAGAAGACGGTTTCAGTGAGAGATACAGGCGCTCGGGTTGACTCACCTGCAGATGCAGTGACATCCAGGGGAAATGGTCTTCACACACGTTACTCGGCTTGGATAGAAATCAGATCCAGCCAGCGTATATCCAAAGACACCACAACACTTCTGACGGTGCTCATGATGCAGCGTCGTGCATGTCTGGTTGATTCATTTTCACTTGTTCGTTTCCGCTTGTTAGCCCCACCCGCTGGAATACGTCGACCGGCTCAGCAACGCGGAGGATCAGGTGAAACTATCGGACGGCATCCCTTTGCTCGTGCTCTCTGCTTGACTCGGTTATAACTCGACATCCTACCGTCTCCATTTATCGGTTCGTACCTGATATGGGCAATTTTCATCTGTGGGCTCGAAATAATGGGGTCCCGCCTCACCTTCTCCTTGCAAGCAGACTTAGACTCACAGCCTGCTCGTCGGAGAAAGTAGGACTCATCCGCCATGAGCCAGACAGAAACATGAGCTCATCTCGGTGTCTGTCAAGCTGCCAGGAATCAAAAGACGTGAGATTCGAATCGAGGATAATGAAGATCACCCACTGGACGTCAGGAGTTTGATCACAAGGAGGCTGTTCTTTCGCGGTGTTTGAATGCCGAGACACGGTGGTATACGCCCATTGTCGCTTGAGCTTTGTATCGGGTAGACACATCAGCACATGACTGATGCACAGAATCGACTGAGAGAAGGGCCGAGAGGATCTGGACCTTAAATTGGCTCATCATCGATGCCACCAGTAGTTATGGGGAAATGATAGACAACATGCGATCGCATCGGCATAGGGAAGCTCGAGCAGAGAAAACGAGGGCGTCCTGTATTACGATACGAGTCAGCAAGGCTTACCACCTGGACGAGTTGTTATGACTTACCTTTCGTAGAGTTCGCAGAGGGCACGCTTTGTACGCTTGAGACGAGACGATCAGTAAACTTCGTGGTCATATGAACTTGCCAACTAGATCACTTACAATCCTCTTCGGCAAGGCAATGCAGCACCATTCATGCGATGTTGTATTCTGGTTCACCGCACTTTCCGGTCGTTGCTTCCAAAATGCCGGGCTGTGGACAAAACCACCAGCATTCCTCGGTCTGTTGGAGTTCCAGGACTGAAAAGACGCGAGATGCCAACCGAGGACAATGACATCACCAATTGGACGCCGGGAATTCGATCCACAAGAAACCTATTCTTTCGCGGTGTTCGAATACCGAGATAGACAGTGGTTTGGCCCATTATGCTTTGGACTTTGTATCGGTAGACACATCAGCACATGGCTGGTGCATAGTGTCGACTGAGAGAAGGGCAGAGATGATGTGAACATTCCATTCATTCCTCGTCCATCCCACCGTGGTAATGATGAAGGGACAGATAGCTTGCGATCGCATCGGTAAAGGGGAGCTTGAGCAGACAAGATTGCTCGCTTCGCATTCGACTCGAGTGACGGGAATATGAGGGGAGCTGGTGTATGATCCGAGTCAGCAAGGCTACCACTTGGACGAGATTTTATAATTTACCTGTTCATAAAGCTCGCAGAACGTTCGCTTGAGACGAAACGATGAATTAGCCTCGAGATTGTATCTTACCGGCCAGATCACTTACAATCGTCTTCATCAATGCAGTCACCTTTCATGCCATTTGATATGATGTTGTCTCCAGTTCGTCGCACTCTCCAGCTATTGCTTCGAATAAGCCGCGCTGGGTGCACCGGGCAATTTCTGAGAGCCAAAGGCGCGTGACGAACCAACTGTGACAGGAAATTGTACAGCCGTAATGGGATAAAACTCGTGATGGGGACGGCAGAGGCTCATACACTCTGCCGTTCATGGTGTGAGGGCGGTGAGGTTGAGGCGGAAGACGCGATGGATCACGCGTCGTAGTGACGTGGTCTTATCTCCGATCCGGCGATAGGACTCTCACCGGGTATCTTTCACAGTGGCGATGGCTGCTCCTACAGTGGCATGAAAATCAGTAATGGTATTGGTGATTCGGAGCACAAAAATTCGCAACAACTGATATAGCGCAGCAGAGGATGCGATAAATCACTCACATTGCCATGAAGAATGGACTTCTCAAGCTTCTGTGCAGCGAAGCTCGCGATCCGATGTCCGCACCTATTATTAGCCCGTTCCTTCTTCACCTGATTTTTTGCTGCGTGGTTTGATGCGACGGGGCCATGAATAGTATGTAGGCAAAGGCTTTGTGCAGAGCACTGACGGGGGTGCTGTATCCTCGGGGACTTCTGGTGCAATGTCGATGTTCACTATCGTTCATTAGCTTGTAGATCGGCGACATAATCCATGACTCACATGCTCTGGCGGCCAAGATTAGGGACGAAGATACGGTAAAGAGCTGTGACTCTTGCGCTCGTGTATTGTGGTCAATTGTCCTCGGTTCTATTGAAATAGCATCGTCTTCGGAATCAGTGAGACAGGTCAGGCTAAGATTCACATACCTCGACGTGAACATTCGCACTTTCTCTTGGAAATACACAGAGGCTGTACAGAAGATCAGCTCAGTCGGCTGCTGTGGTGGAGGCATCTTTGCATATACATCTTTAATCGGCTGGTGTGAATGGCAGTGCATCTGGTGGGAATCATACCTGTATCTCTCACAGGCACTGTCTGGCTTGCTGGTCCGCGATGTATTCTATCAATGTCAGTACAGTGGAATTCAGTACCGGGTCAAGGGGAAGAACTTATCAAGTGACTCAGACACAAGCCTGCTCGATTTTGCAGAGTCAAGGGGATAAATCGTAGAGCAAGTTGCTGGGGGTAGAGGACGTCTTTATAGGCTTCTCGGCTTCTGTCAATTGGAAGCTGGGCAGGCAGCATTGAAGAACACCTGTCCTTATTGAGCCCTGTTGAAACCCATGTCTCCTTTCAACCGCAACTATTTGCAGCGACATTTTTAATGCTTTAGATGCTCAGCGAGAGAGACGAGCACGAGTCGTGTTGAGCAACAGCATGCTGAGTTGGTCAAGAAACGTTGGCTGACTGTTGAATCCTTCACGGCTCTTTAAAATTGAGGCACTGAGTACTATTCAATCCGCAATGACAGGCTCATATTTCTTGTTCTGATACCTCACCTGTGAGTGACTCAACGTTAAATCACCGAAATTGCCTACTATTTCATACCCGAAAGAAATCATGGACTTTTTCCTAGCCTCGCTTTAGTGTGTGTGGTATTGGTTGTGTTGAGCTGTGGGTCTGTCCGACCAGACTGCGGAAAGCGAGGTCACAGTAGGATGTGCTCGACCCGTCAACCCGTTGAAGCTTAGCCCAACGTTGTTGTCAACACTCAATTTTCGAACTTGTGACCATGAAAATACATTAAATAAAAAAGTTCAGTTTTTTCCCTGAATTTCTTTGTTTAATGACGATAAGTACTACAATATTCCGTTTGTCGGATTTCTGAGGCGTTCAGCGAAAGGGAAAGAGGTTTCTGATTGAAATATATATCCTCACCAGGTAGGGGTTCATCTCTAGCCCTCAACACCATGAGGCTTGATCAGTTTCCCCAACCGACTATCCCTATCGTTGAATACACTGTCAACAGCCCGCCGAAAACTAACGAAACTATTGTCAAAATCTGACTGCATCAATTAACAGTTGTGGTAATGGTAAAATCCACTACATAGTCGCCTGCGTCTGCGCAGTCTATAAGAGACACTAAGGATCGATGGAAATTGTATTAACCAGGCCCGTGACTTTTAAAAATGGATGCCCCGAACAGCTCGCCACAGCGGCAACACCAGGAAAAAGAAGGAGATCAGCAGCCCAGTGAATTGCCCATCCTTGATGAGAAAGACAAATCACAGGAAAATTCTGACCATGTGCCATTGGTAAGTGAAACGATTTGGCTTCAAATGCTTTTGCTGACCATTGCAGCCCTCCACTTCGCAGCAGGAAGCAGAAACAAGACACACCCTGGCGACCGAGCCCTTCCAACATATTCTGAAGGTGCTAGCAGACCTCGAGCGCGACGATCCCAAGTTCGCCTTTCCAGCAGCTCGACTTGTTGGGCTCTATCGACGCCTATGGGAGTCGTGCGTGTCCAAGCACATTGATGGCGAGAATCTGGAGCAGGGCAACCTTGTTTTGAAGGAGGCTGGTACGCACCTGAGAAAGAAAAGAGATGGTTTCCAGGTTCGCCACGA